AACTGGTCTGTGACCATGGAAGAAAAGACGACACTCTTGTAGCTCCTGGAAAGGAAAAGCCTCATGTCCTATCACTTTAGTTCAATAACATTTTCTTCTACTTAAAAAGACAGATCTCTTTATTTCCAGAAAGATATTGGAGGTGGCTGCCTCTATTTTCTCCGTACTTTGTTGGCAATATATGATCTTAGCTTATTTCCAGCAAGCACATGTAAGACTTTTTAAATATGTGTAACTTTATAGCCAAAAAGAGACTAAGCACTTCACAAAGGCAGAGGCCAAGCACTAATTTTAGACATCTGCGAGAAACCACCACACCCTGGGTGGATGCCCCACCACTGTTACTGTTCTTCTTCGTCCTGCTACTACTAAGAAGAAGAAGGATGAGTTACCGTGGGCCGGCACCTCCCTATGTGCCTGGACTTGTGCTGTGTCCCTTACAAACGTCATCCCACTAAATTCCCCCTGGAGGCAGGGGCTCTTATCCTCATTTACAGACGAGGGGTCAGACGGGTTCGGTAGTGAAGCCTCACTGCTTACGCGTGGTACAGTCAGAATGCAACGCCAAAATGTGCTCCACTCCCCTGCTCGGGCTGGTAACTGCGACAAGGAACACCCGCAGGTTCGGTGACCCGTGAGGTCTTCTGAGAAGGAACACAAGCCGGAGACAAAGGGAGCGGACGGCCGTATTGTGAACATCCACCTTATGCTCCACTTCTGGCTATCTCAAACGCCTGTGTGGGGAGGAACTTCTTTAAATCACAGATTCCCGGGTCCCCCCTCAAATTAAGATGGATGAGCCCAGGAGTCTCATTCGTGGCAATTACCCCCCACGTGATTCTGATTCAGGACGCCATGAATTACACCATCTGGGTCAGTGACTGACAAACTTATTTAATGGGACTCATAGGACGTCACCAACTTGACCTCACCACCCAGCACATACATGCACACACAGTGACATATAAACATACTGAACTATGGAGACAAAGGTCTCAAAAAACAGTACTTACCTCTGGTATGGGTGAACAATGCTGATAATTTCTATTTTATTTTATTCTATTCCATTTCATTTCTAAGATATAAAAAGTTGTGATCCACTAAACTGATTCCACAACCCTCTAATGGATCATCACCTGGGGACTGAAAAAACACTGACCTGGGTGTCATATATGTATTTTCCAATTCAATCCTCACAACCCTGAGAGGTAGGAGAAAGTATCTTATCTCCACTTTACAGATGAGAAAACTGAGGGTCAAAGAGGCTAAGAAATTTGCCCAAGGTGACAGAGCTGGAGATGGGGTCTGAACTCGAGCATGTCAGAGCCCAAAGCCCCCTGTCATTGTACAAAAATTGTGTTCTCAAGTCTCCCCTTCACAAATTTGCACAGTGCTGTAAAAAGTGGGTTTGCTCCAAAAACATCATTGACTAACTCCCTTGACTAGGTCCCCAAATTTCCTTGATTCCAATGCATCTAGTTACTAATGGGAGGGAGAAGGGGGTGGGGAAAAACTATATTAAATGTTCGCATGCTTTCCAATCATTAGGTATATCCTTAGCTATGAAATGGTTGTTAAGAGTCACAGAAACAGGAACTTAGCCAAATTATCCTGGAGTCCTAACCCAACTGGAATGGACGTGGATTTAGGTCCATTTGGGTGGCAGTTGGAGTTTCTACTTTAAATGTCCTTAGTTTTGCACTGCATGGGAATCTGTGTCAAAACCAGGTGATGTGAGAGCCAACCAGCCTTTCAACACACCTGGCCCCATATCCCTGGGTCACGGGCAAGGAAACCAGGCCCCACGCTGATTCAAGGAGTCGCCCCAAGTCAGCACAGCACCACTCTCCCAACCTAGCTAGACCCTTCCCTGACCAGAGTCCTCAGCTCAACAAGCACGTCCACAGGGCACCTTTACATCACAAAGCTCATTCACGCTATCTTGTTGGAGCCTCACCACCCTGAGAAAGCAGGGCATAGTAGTCACTCCACTCTTATATATATATTTCAGAATTCCTTTTATATGAAATGTGCAGAACAGGCAAATCCACAGAAATAGAAAGTAGATTACTGGTTGCCTAGGGCTCGGGGAGGGGAAAGTAAGCAATGACAGCTACTGGAAGATCTTCCTACCGAGTCAACATTTCCTTGGTACCTGTGGCTTCATTAGAGATAATTTATAGGCTCAAAAGACAAATGTTGTCTAAACTCAAAATACTGGAACCTAAATGATGCCATCTTACTACACTGGCAACACAGTCCACCTGCTTTGTTGAAGATGTTTAGTCACTCAATACCTTGGTGTAACATGAAAGGTTTACCCTTGGTTTGCACTGCCTACTCTGCTGGGAATTTCCTGTCTGCCTCTTCTCTTGGCCAAATCCTACTCATGAACCTCAGAACGCCTCCTCCAGGCAGCCCTCCTTTACCTTGACCTGGCCCTCTCTGGGGCGGTTTGGGAGGGGGAGGGCACCTTGTGTTGGCCTCACTTACCCTCCCTCATTGCCATATTGCCATTACTGTCCACTTGTTCATCCCCCCACAAAACAAACAGCACCCTGAAGGCAGGACTAGGTCTTACTCATATTTGAAATCCCAATGCCTGGCACGTAGAGAATGATGCATGCAGAGAGTGACTGTGGGCAAGTTACCGAATGACTCTGCGACAGAAGGCTCCTAATCTGCCCAGTGAAGGAAATCATCCCCACCTCCTGGAAGGTCATGAGAATTAAGTAAGGTCACATGAGAACCTGGACCACAGGATGTAAACAGCAACTGTTATCTCCCTTTCCCCCAACACATACTTCCTTGGATGCCTTCCCAAGTGTCGATATTGAAGAGATAAGCCTCTTTGAAGGAAGAGTCATAACCATAGAAAGTAGAAAAGAGAAGCTTCTTTAAATGCCAGTTTATCAAGAAAAATGAAAGCATATGAAATTGGGGCTGGAGATCTTAGAGCATGTCACCAACGCTCCCCTGTTGACCATGAGGCACAGGGATGTGGCCAGGAGGCTGAGCATCAGCATCCCTGGCAAGAAAACACCTGGGCTGGACCATGAGTCCTCCTGATGCACTCAATGGGCAAGGAACATGGGTACGGAAAAAAACAGGCAGTCCCAGATTGTAAAGTTCTTTTACAACTTCCTTGTTCTTATCAGTCTTTAGTCTGTGTTTCAAAAATCTCTAAATCCAGAGCAACAAGTGTCAAAATGATAAGTGGAATAAATAATAATAATACTAATAGTCAATGGTATATAGTGCTTACTCTATGTCAGGCACTGTTCTAAGACATTTATGTACATTCCCTCACTTCATCCCCACCTGAGGATGGGTAAACTGAGGCAGTTACATGACTCATCTTGAGGGCAAACGCGTGGTAAATGGGGGAGCCCGAGTTACAATCCAGCAGTCTGGATCCTGGTCATTATTAATGGCTACACTCCAAGGCTGCCCCTGAGACCCCTGTTCTCTTGTTGGCCTCACTCCCTCTTGACTTCATATGAGTTTCTGGGGAAGTCACAGTAGTGATTTCTGCCACCTCAGTTTTCCTGGCCCTAAGAGTGTACTGAAGCAATAGCAATTACAATTCTTTAGGAAATAGGAACAACACACGCTCACACCCTACTTGGAGAGCGTGAGAGAAAGAGAACACATACGAAGAGGAACCAGGTGACATACAATACCTGGTACACAGTCAACTATTCAAGCGCTGTGCCAAGTTCTTTATCTAGAGCATTCCATTTTAACCTCCCAATAACCCTAGGAGATCTATATACATACACAAATATAGATGCAAGCATGTGTATGTGTGTACGTGTATGCATGTTTATAGGTGTGTACGTGTGTACATGTGTGTGCATGTCTGTGTGGTGTATAATACATGTGTGTACATGTGTATAATACACGTGTATGTCTGTGTATATATGTATATACATGCATGTGTGTATGTGTGTGTATCTAAAATAGATATATACTGTTTATATATATTTTATACAAAAGGCTACCAAGCCTCAGAAAGGACAAGAGACTTGCCCGACATCACACAACCTGTGTGCGTGCTGGAGACAGTATTTGAATCCAGGTATCTAACCCCACAGCACGTGCCCTTCCCTATCCACTGAACCTAACACACCCGACTTCGTGGGTGGACAAACTGCTACCATATCAGTGATTTGTATGCCAGAAAACTGTGGCAGCACATCAAGTTTCTGAAGCTTCATTTTGTGCTGTTTGTAGCATAAAAAGGAATGTAATTAAAGCAGAACCACACCTGGGGCCAGGTGTTTCTCCTTTATAACTTTAAGACATCGCAAATCACTCTCAGGTGTTGGCCTCTTGAGTTGGATTAGAATTTGCAAAAATAAACATTCATTCATTGTGTTACATGATCTCCCACCAAAGAATCAAACAAAACAAATTTTACCATCGTGAATATTAACAGCACCTGGAATTAACATATCACTTTTTTAAAAAATAAAGGGAACATTCTCTCACAGTTTCCAAAAAATAACACAATATGACAATATCATCGTGCACATTTACCATGATCTTACTGTGAACCAAACACGGAGCCTACCACCCTCCAGGCATTGTCTAATTTAACGTCTCAACAGCTTGTAGGGGCAGCTATTATTGTTATTATTATTATCCCTGTTATTTATAATTCTTGAAAATGTCACTTAAGAAATCCTTGCTTTATTTCTATTCTGTAGATTTTTCTTGCCGACTTTCTCTGATGCTGAAAAATCTGCATAGAAAGCGAATCTGTTCAATCTAATCTTTTTTCCAATGTCTCTGAGACTCTCCCTGTGAAAGGCACCCTGGGGTGAAGGAAACCTTTGGTCAAGTGAGGAGCCTGTTTCATGAGCAGGACCTCGCTGTTTGCAGGGCTGGCCGCTCAGGCGCTGGGTGTACATGACACAGGGACACCTCCATCTGCACAGATGTGAGAAAGCAATGAGCACGGGGAGACGGGGCCGCCACTCAGGCTCGCTACTTACCAGCTCTGCGTGAACTTTAAGATGTGCCTGCAGCTTATATTTATCTGGAGTCGAGTAGTCACAGCCGTCAGTGGGACACTTCAGCAAGATGTTACTGTGTTTCTGAATTACATGGCGTTTAAGGCAGTTTTTGGTGATGGAAGAATAATGACACTGGGAGCAATAATACAGATGTTCCCGGGTGTGGGTGCGGACATGCATATCAAAATGCACTTGGTACCAAAAAAGTTTGCCTAAAAAAATATTTTCACATGAGAACAAGGAAGTTTCTTTTATACTGAATTTGATTTTTTTTTAATTATTATTATTTTTTAACTACTATATTTATCTCCCTCTGCGTGCTTGTCCGGGTTACCCTTCACACTTTCCACCACATCTCTGTCTGGAAATTACTTTTCAAAGGTGCGAGGTTGCAATTATTACGAGTGCTACTATTTTTGCATGATGTCAGAGCTGGGAGAGGAGGAAACGAATGTTTATTGAGGACCAATTACGGTGCCAAATACTACTATGCAAATGCATAAATCAAAGAGTCTGTAAACTCTACTGACACCTCGGACACCGGGTCCAGAGCTGGATCTCCTACTTCCTGCACCGCCAGCTCTCCAGGAAACTCAGAGGCCAGGCTTTCACAGTGAGCTGGAAGGGTTCTAGTCAGGGCCTCCCTACAAAGAGCTACAGCCACTTTCATAACCTCTCTCTGCACAACAAGAACGTGGCCTCTACTTTAAACTTATGTGCCAGAAGAAAGATTCTTCTTGGTTAAAGTTCTGGCAGAGGCCGTGGGATAAACCTCTGCATGCACGCCTGACCAAGCCAACACGGTTGACTGTCCCGTCATCCTGGCTGCCTTCAGAAAGACTTCCGTGCTAAACTGCAACACGGGCAGGCCACCCATTACTATCTACAAATGAAGGAGGATAGCTCACTTAGAAGCTGTTCTTCGCAAAGAGACATGAGCTCAAATCAAACACGAGGTGACCCGAAGCAAGGTGGGGGTGGATGGGGCTGCTGGGAATGAGAGCTCCCCTCGGCTGCTCGCCCAGCGCTGCCTCTCCTTACCACAGTATTCACACTCCAGGTCTCCGTACACCTTCCGGATCCTCTCACACAAGCCAGTGTTCATTCGCCTCTTCTGTAAACTGTCCAGGATCTTCATGAACGCAGTGATGCCAGCCCGGTGCTCGGAGGCAGGCGGGCACGAGGCAGGCTGGCACAGGGCCATGTCCCTCCCACCGGCTCCTGGAGGGAGGTCTGAGGCCTCAGCTGGGTTTGACCTGAGACACCGACTGGGATCTGGTCCATCGGATGGGAGGGCAGCCATCTTCTGACCTTCACCTGGAGGGCTCCTGGCGCCCTGGGTCTCCAGGTTTGCTTCAGTGCTTTTGGCCTTGGACAACAGTAGCGTGACTTCTTCACCCTGAGCCTGGGCAGAGCCCCCGTGCTGGGCATCCAAGGTCTTCTCAGGGGCAGTGTGAGCCTCAGCAGAGGAGGTATCGTTTTTCAACAAAAACTCATCCGAAACTACCGCGTGTGGATGAAGGTCCGAGGAGACCACAGTGGCTTCCAGCTCACAGGGCGGCAGGGCAGCACTTCCCGCCGGGGGCGTGGCTAAGTGCACAGGTGGGGCAGGCACCTCCACAGGGGCCTCCGGTTCCTTCCGCGCCTCCTCAGGCTGAGCATCCCCAGGGCAGGCCGCCTCCTTGGGTGCATTCACCCCCTGGAACACAAACTCCTCCTCCGCCAGCTGCAGCTGGCCCCCCAGTGCTTCCTGCTGGATGTCCCCCCCGGGCTCCAGGAGACAGAAGCTCTGGTTGATGGAGCTGGTGAAGACCAAGGTCTCCTGGGCAGCCCCGTGCGCCTCTTTGATGTGGGAGCGCAGCCTGATGGAGCTGACAAACTTCTTGAGGCATATGGCGCAGACGTACACGAAGGGGTGCTTCCTGACGTGCAGCTCCAGCGCCTGGTACTTGGTGGCCCCGTGGCCACAGAGCTCGCAGGCAAAGGGCCACTTGTCACCGTGCACCAGCATGTGGCGGTCGCGGTCCAGCTCGTTCTTGAACTTGCGCTCGCAGATATGGCAGTCGTAGAGCAGCTGCCGCTTGCCCTCCCTCGTCATCAGACAGAGCTCGTCCAGGGCCTCCTTGACCTTCTTGTCCTGCGGGTCGTGCACGTCGCGGATGTGCTTGATGAGGTTCTTGACGTCGGAGTACTTCTTCTTGCAGAAGCGGCAGTGCTGCTTGATCTTCTTGTGCACCCGCTCGATGTGCACCTTGAGGTGGCCTTTGCTCAGGCAGGTGAAGGAGCAGTAGTCGCAGGCGAACTTCTCGCCAGTGTGCTTGCGCAGGTGCACGTTGAGGTTGGCCTTGATGGCGCTGGCGTAGCTGCACTGGGAGCACTTGTACGGCTTCTCGTTGGTGTGGATCCGCAGGTGGGCCTGCAGCGAGTGCTTAAACTTGAAGACCTTGTTGCAGTACTCACAAGTGAAGATCTTGAGCTGGGTGGGACCTAGCCTGGAAACAGAGGACGGCACCGTTACACTTGGAGACTCTGCCCCTTCCTAACGACCCCTAATTCCTTCTCACGAACCAAACACCACAGGCTCAGAAGTGAACTAAATGGGACTGAGGATGGACGGAAGCATTCATTCATCAACAAACAGGACCGGAGGACCTAGTACGGACCAGGCACATACAAAGATGGCAGACTGGGTCCCTGTTGCTCACAGTCTAGAAGGAGAGAAGACAGGTCAGCACATGGCTGCGTGACAGTGTGGTAAGTGTTGATAGGATCATGTGCAGGGCAAGAAGAGAAAGAGACCTCTAACCTGGATGAAGGCGGCTGGGAAACCTTGCTGAAGAGAAGATGTCTGAGCGGAGCTTGCGGAACAAGGAAGAAGGAGGCAAAAGAGGGAAGAGGGATGTGTCATTCACCATGTCCACAATAACCAGCCGTGTCCCAAAGCTCACCCATACACAGTCCAGGGTATTTTAACGGGACCACTCTTAATGGAATGAACTCAGTCTGCTCCGTGAGACTAGTTAAAATCTGCCTGGATTTATTCAATAGCTTCAATAATCTAGACTTACCTATTCATTCAACCAACTGTCGGGGGTAACACCCTGTCCTCTTGCCGCAAGTTTCCACGTGAGGGCCACCCATTAGTGAAAGACCCCTGGCCTTTCTCCATGTTCTCACTTCCTCCCAGGAACAGTGAAGTGATATATCTGATTGGTGAGTCTGGAACAGAACCTGGCCTTCACGAGCTGAGATCCATCTCTCCCTTTCTGGTGAGGATGTGTCTGCCCATGGACAGCATGTGATATGGTAGACACTTAGCTAGGTGGACACCCGTGAGCCAGGCCAACAGGAGTCAAGGACTGCAGATGGGGGAGGGAGTCAGGCTGTCTAGTCTTGCAGTACAGTCGTAGGAAGCCTAGTGACTTGCACCACGCCATTTTCTCCCACAGCTCTATCAGTAATAGAGCTGATGTTTCAATCTCCATTTTCCTCCCCCTCTATCACAGCTGGTATAGAACTCAGATGGGGAAAATAGGATTGTTGTTCAATTGTCATTTACTAACCTCCTAAACCATTTATTAATAAATGATTGTCATTTATTAATACTTGCCAATGTGTTTCAGGCACTGTGTTAGATTTTGTGCATGTCATGGAGAATAAAAGCAATACTGCCCCATGGATCCTTTCTCAATATGGCAATGTGTATGCTGAATGAGATGGTAATAATAATAACAATAGCTAATTAAGAGCTTATGATACGCCAAACCCTATGCTAAGTATTTAATCCCAACCCTATCATTATACCCATTTTACAGGTGACAAAACTGAGTATTTGCCCAAGGTCATATAATTAGTAAGTGGTGAAGCCAGGATTTGAACCCAAGCAGACTGCCTGCCTCTAGAGTCTGCACTTTCCCCCTCATCCTCTATACTGCTGAAAACACCATGTACACCAACCCCCTCCCCAGTGTGACTGTACATATGGAGCAGGCCCCCTGTATGGGGCTTCCATTGCTGATGGAACAGTCGCGCCTTGTTTCTGAAATCAACCAATGACAGTCACCAGAGTACTACAACATGCACCAGGGACAGGAACTGGCAAACGAGCCAAAGAGGCAGATGACGCTTCCTCTCCTCCATAACTGCTCCCTCTGGACAGTTTGTCCAGGTCACCCAGGAGGGTCCTCAGAAACACTAATACAGCCACGCGTCACTTCATGACAGGAGTATGTTCTGAGAAACGCATCGCTGGGCAATTTCATCATTGTGTGAACATCACAGAGTGTACTGAAGGGGAACAAAACTTGCCACCCCAAAATGTGTCTCTTTAGCATGAGGATTATTTTAGGCTATTTTCAAGAAACAAAAGACTCAGAAAGTTTTTCTTATCTCCCCCGTAACTACCTAAAAGAATTCAGGTAAAAAAACTTGTCTCAGGAAGTGAGCTATCACCTTAGCAGAACACAAACTAGGCGGTAGACAGGGAGGAACCTAGAAAAGCCTGTTTGTTGGCCTCCCCTCTGTGGTCTTGTTTCTGTGTGGCCAAACACTTGTTTTCCAAATGTTTGCTCCTTTTCACCTGTGAATTACTTCCCTTCCCTTTTAAGTCTCTGACTTTCCCCACCCCCAACATCGTCCTTTGTCTTTAGCTGAGGATGATATTTAAGGTGAGGGCTTCAGCCATTCTGGCAAGTTATTCGGTTTTCCTGGGTTTCTCCCATGTATACTCATTATTAAACTTTTGTTTGTTTTTTCTCCTGCTAATGTGTCTCATGCCAATTTAATTCTTAGACCAGCTAGAAGAACTTAGAAGGGTAGAGGAAAATTTCTTCCTCCCTACAGTATATACACAAACCTAGATAGTAGAGCCTACAACACACCCAGGCTATACAGTACTAATCTTAAGGGACCACCGTCGTATAGGTGCTCTGCCATTGACGGAAACATTGTTATGCAGCAAGTGATTGTAATCATTTAGTGCTGTTAATCAGATACCATTAAGCTGTACCCACTCTAACTGCAAAATCCATATTTATGGAACTACCCATACGGCTATGTTTGATCAACACAAGTTGCCTTGTCTTTAAATTAAAAACACTTAAATGGACTGCAGTCCAAAAACACCAGGGGATACAATTCACATGATGTAATCAAAACATTCAAATTTGAAAGTTACTAGTGTGCTTGCATGCTAAACCCAAGGCTAATTTAAAGAAATTAATTTGGATCCTTCTCTAATGACAAAGATATCCAGGAGGTGATACATTTTATTGACATAAAGAACACCGGAGGAAGAAATTCTGGATTCATAACATTAATTAAACAAACAAATCATGGTATTTCCTCCTCTAATGCAAGATCTAAATGGTCTTATGAGAATCTTTTGCTCTGACTTTTCTTGTATTACTACACAAATACCTGGTAAAACCCTCAGAGCCCTGTTTCCCACCAAGGGTAATGAATCTGTGGAAGAATCAAAGCAGCCTACATCTGACTCTCAAGCACAAGCCTAACTATGATTGTAAACTAATGCACAGAGCTGTGACGTGCACATGATTCCTATTAAATTATTTCACTGCAAATGTTCCCTATTCAGGGAGAGAGGCACTCTCCTCCATCGCATTTTAGAAAGCAATCAGAGCTTTAAAAGGTCATACCTCCCACTCCAGTTACTCCACTTCTGGGAATCCATCCGAAAAAAAGAATACAAAATTCGAATGAAGGTGCTCAGTGCACTATTTCTCACAATAGTTAAGAGCAGGAAGCTGCTTGAAGGTCCCAACATAGGGCACTAGTGTATTTGCACATTTATTTTTTTCACTCATTCATTCATTCCAAAAAGTATTCCAGGCACTGGGGACATAATAGGGAAAGAAACAAACACAACTCATGCTCTCTTGGAGCTCACCTTCTAGAGGAAGTGATGAACCAGCCTAATAACCATAAAATGAACAGATAAGGACCACCAGCTCCCTGCTGTGATGGAACAAGGCGCTATGCTCTAAGACCCCAGGGCAGAGCAGACAGATCTGTCTAGGGGGCAGGACCGGCTGCCCTGAGCATAGGACATTTGAGCAGATAGCTGAAGGATGAACAGGCGATAACCAAGCCAGGGGGAGGGGAAGCATCTGGGAAGAGGATAAGGCTCAGATGGCTGCAGCAGAGGCTGGAGCCCAGAGAACCAGAGGGAGCATGGGAGGGGGATGAGGCTGGAGAGGCAGCAGCCACGGAAGGCCCTGTAGGCCAAGTTCTCCCAACAGCAATGTGAGGCCTTAACGGATACAATCAAAAGGGCATTTTACAAAGATCTCATGGGCTGCAAGGTGGAGAGCTGAGCAGATTACAGGACATCCTGATGATGTTTTAGCACGTCAGTACAAAACAGAGTTTGTGAATAATCTGAGCAACAAAAGAAAGTAAGTATAATGTGATTAAATATTAAAGGCAAGATACAAAGTTGCCTATAAAATATAAACTCAATTTTATAAAATATGTGGGCTAAAAAAGGCTGGAAGGAAATGCATTAAAAATAGTAACTGGTGGGGCCGGCCCCGTGGCTTACTGGTTAAGTGCACACGCTCCACTACTGACGGCCCAGGTTCGGATCCCGGGCGCACACCGACACACCGCTTCTCCAGCCATGCTGAGGCCACATCCCACATACGGCAACTAGAAGGATGTGCAACTATGACATACAACTATCTACTGGGGCTTTGGGGGAAAAAAAAGAGGAGGATCATCAATAGATGTTAGCTCAGAGCCGGTCTTTCTGAGCAAAAAGAGAAAGATTAGCATGGATGTTAGCTCAGGGATGATCTTCCTCAAAAAAAAAAAAAAAAAAATTGTAACTGGTTATCTTAGGATACTGAGATTACAATGATTTTTTTCCTATAATTTTCTGTACTTTCAAAATTTTGTATATAAGTCTGTATCATATTTGTGTGAGAACCTAATTTATATAACCTAATTGATATATTGATATAACCTAAAAGTTTATAGCTATATTTTACAAAGAAAAATCTTCATGCAAAAGTCTTTCATAGCTGTCATAATTTATACTATAAAATATTAATAGAATGCATGACAATAGAAATGCAGTGTAGATCTATTGATTAAATAGAGTATATTTACCTGTAACTATATTAGTATTTAGTTGAACTCCTCCCCAACAGACCTTGAAGTACGGTGAAGATAATTAGCTAAGATCTACAAATCAACCTAAGTTGAGACCAGAATGTTCTTCAAATTTAATTCCATTATAGTTTTGCCGAAGGAATGAGTATTTTTACAACTTCATCAATAAATTCAATTGCTCACATTTGCAAGAAGAGAGGACTGAGGCTACAAACTAATGAACCATCCCACATGACATTATATTATAATTTAGTAAGAGCACATGTACAAGACACTTTCCATATATTTTATCATTCATTCTCACCACTAAACTAAGTCAGATTTGATCAGACTATCTTATGGCCGGTGTAACAGAGGTTCGGAGGCAAAAATCACTTGAGTCAAGTCACAGTAGGAGAGCTTCATCGGGTCAGCAGCTGTCTCTGTCCTATTCTTTCTCATATCCCCAGGGCCTGGGACATAAAAGGTGTTCAATCTGTTGAGCTGAACTCAAGTAGCAGAAGAGTCTGGAGCCAACCCAGGTCTGTTTGGCACTAAAGCTTACGCTCTTGTCAAGAACAGCTCATTTCCCCTCTTCCAGAAACACAGGGAAACCACTGGCGACTGGCATGTTCTTTGTCTTTCCTTCCAGCTGGGAAAATTGTTTCCAGAGGCCAGGTGAACATTTTGCTAGTCTACCTCAGCAGGTATAGATCAAGCTGAGACAGAGACCGTGGGGAGGGTGTGGAGAACACATACCCTCACTCACTGTGGGTGGTCAACCGACCCAACGTATTTGGAGGACAGTTTTTAAAGACAATTAAAGTTTTAAGCACTCATATTCTTGAGACAGCAATTTCAATTCTAGCAATTTATCCCACAGGAAGTCTTGAAGAAGTACGGAAAGATGGAGGCACCAAAACCTTGAGCACAGCATTGTCCATCAAGCAAAAACTGGCTACATAAACTATAGTGCATCCATACAATAGCAAACACAAAGTTTTTAAAAAATATGTACTGAAGAAGAAAGATTTTCAACGTGCGGTAAGTTTAAAAAGATAAATTGATAATTGCATTTGGAATTTCACGTTAAAAAAATAACAAAATTAAAGTGCTATTTTTTAGTATATCATGAAAACATTATGGTGGCCTATGAACCAAACTGTCAATAGTAGTTACCTCTAGAAGAGGAACTATGGGTTACTTAACTCTACATCATATGGGATGTTTAAACTTTCTACAAGATGCTTGTGTTACTTTTGAAAGTAGGGAGGAAACAGATTTTTTTTAAAATATGTGCAGCTCTAAAAATCAGTAAATCTACTAAGTAAAGCCTTGTTTACACTTCTTTTTATTCAACTTAAACATATGTTTGCTTTAAGTAAAACGCTCCACTTTCATTAAGCCAACTGGTGCTCAAACCCCAAAGTGTGTTGATCTGCCACGCATGTCACAGAAGCATCTCGGGTTCAGCCAACATACTAGGACTGTAAGAGAGGGGCCGATTCTTAGGTTAAATCGAGAAACCAATATCCTTTACAAATCAGTCTGCAAACAGAGTCCTAATAAACTAACACACTCATCCTCTCGCCAGCTGTGGCTGGAGCCACACAGAACAGACACGTTACCTGCTTGACTTCATGGGTTGCTCGTACGGTGTCTGCTGAATGGCGTACTCCTGGTACCCTCTCCGAGGCGCCAAGTCAGCCGCGGTGGTCTCGGGGTTTGCGCCTCCTGTTTCCGGGGGCCCAGCCTCCACTGGAACAATCTTAGTAGCACCTGAGATGGAGGCACAACGCACTGCGTATTAAAGAGGCACCGCAAGGGGCCCTGACCCCAGCGCAGGGAGCAGAGCCTGGGAAGTATATTTTTTACTGTATGATACTGTGCAAGGTAAGAGTCTTACCTAGGTTCACACATTTAACTTGTGTGTGTGTGGGGGGGGGCAAGTTTTCTAATAATCTATCAAAATGTCTTTCTGAGGTACACATTCACTTGATCTATTTATTAAAAAAACAAAAACATATATCGGGGCCAGCCCAGTGGCATAGTGGTTAAGCGTGCGCACTCCACTTTGGCAGCCCAGGGTTCGCAGGTTCGGATCCCGGGGGCACACCCACGCACCGCTTGTCAAGCCACGCTATAGCGGCATCCCATATAAAGTAGAGGAAGACGGGCAGGATGTTAGCCCAGGGCCAGTCTTCCTCAGCAAAAAGGAGGAGGATTGGCATGGATGTTAGCTCAGGGCAAGTCTTCCTCACACAAAAAAAAAACACCACCAAAAACATATAGGTAGATATGTACACATATATGTTTACCAGCAAGGTTTTATATAGGACCACATGTGTTAAACTTTACAAAAATGTAAAACTGCATCAAGACAGTAGGGAGTAGTGAATCAGCTGTGAACAGGAATTCAAGCTGCCTGAGCTCCAGTCCCAAATATGACATCAACTCACCATCTCTGGGTCTCTGTTTCCACCCTATTAAGTGAAGGCTTTGAAGGGGAAAAATTCAAATGTCACCTTTCTTGTGCAATTCTATGATGTGAAGTGACAAAGACCTCTTATAGCAGTGGACACTTTATGCGTGTGTGTACTTGTGTGTGTGTGCACACACCCATGCGCATGTATTAATGTACCAAGTGCATTAAAGAAAATGCACCAACCTACCCATTGTTTTCAGGAGTAGCAAAGGAAATTAATTTTACTTTTCACTCCCATTTACAGGAATCTCAAAATACTACCATCAATTTTTAAGAAATTATTATAGAAACTTTCTCCAGAGACAGCTGAGAACAAGAACTGCACACTTGGGATTTTCATTTCCCAGACTAATACTGCTCTGAAGTAGGGTGGGGCAGACAAAGTGACTTCCAGAAAGTTCTTCTAGTCACATAATTTTATATGGCTTATTCTTTACTGATCACCTTACGCTGCACTGAAGTATAAAGAAGCATTTATTCAGTGTTTCATTTTAAATGATGAGTTACTATTAGCACTAAAAACAGATGCTTAAAAGGTTGTGGCTATTCTTAAAATCCTAAACTTGATTTTTTAATTCTATTTACAGCTATCACCCCAATGGATAGGAAAAAATCCATCACTATACTTTGGAATCTACTGTCATAAACTGCTTTTTGTCTGAAGTGTTCTTTCCTGGAAGAGACCTTTTTTAAAAAAGATAGTATAATATATCCACTGGCTATTTTACATGAAAGGAAAAGGAAATGGAAATTTTCCGTATTATAAAATATCTGATGAACCCCGTTAAAAATGCAAAAAAGAAGTTAGGCAGAGGGAACATCATAAGCAGCACAGATTTTGGAGAGGCAGCCTGCATCAGTCTGGTCTGAATGGGTCTGTCTTACACTTCGGACAGCAGCGCAGAGCACATAAGGCAGAAGGGCACATCAGGAGAGGGGCAGGGGGTGGGGAGCTCTCCTTGGTGCTGCTCCCCTGAGTGGCTACTAGAATGACAAGGACAGGTCGCAGTTGTAGAGGTCATGGCGGCAGCACTGGGAACAGCCCTCAGCCCCTTTCCTCCATATGTTGTCTACAACAGCCCCGGGCAGTAACCCATCTGCCATCGCCCCAGATTAACAGGTAATCAAATGGAGAGTGCATTAGTGAGCGAGCTGCTCAGGGTCCCAGGGTCCAAGCTGCCAGGCTGCCCTTGGTACAGACTTGCCACAAGATTCTCGTTCTGTCACTTCCCACTGGTTGTGGTCACCTGGAATAGCTTCATGTGCAGTTAAAACCACACTTATGATGGGCTTCTTCGCTCCGGCAGTCTGCCCCGTCTCCTTTCCCGAGGAGATCTTCTGGACCTTCTCTGTTCTCTGTGTCCGCGGTCTCTTCGGGGCCTTTTCTCGGTCATCCTCCTTATACTTCTTTTCCAGTTCAAGGTCAGATTCGTTACCTAAGGAGGAAATACCGAGATGTATAAAATATCCTTTTATATCAGTGATGGAGGTGAAGAATAAACATAACCCTTTTATGAGATAGTAAAGGAAATACATAGATGTGATATATAGCAATGATATATATACACAGTGATCCACAGCGCTATGCAAGCCACTCTATCACTTCAGGCATCATCTTTGGTTCTTCAGTCTTCCATTTGATTCAATAAATAGTCACTGCACCACCACTGAGGCCCTGGGGATACACTGTTGATAAAGCAGGCATAGCTCCTCCTCTCGTTTTCATGAAACCTAGCAGATTTCAGACTCATTAATAAACAACACTGCAGAGAAGAGATGGTCTCCAAGTTTAGAGTCTAAAAAAGAAATCTTTCACTTATTCAACTTACAGTTATTAGGTACTGTCTGTGTGGCAGGCATGGTGGATATAAAGACGGATAAGGCACAGACCCAGACCCTGCCCTGGAGAGCCCTGGGGTCTGGTGGGAGAGGCAGACATGCAAACAGAGGCAGTCCACGACAGTCCACTGTGCACCGACTGAAATGAGAAGGGGTTCGGGATGATATGGGCAGGGATGGTAGATCCCACCTGAGAGATCAGAGGAGACTTCCTGGAGAGGTAACCCTTCAGTTAAATACAAAAAATAAGCATTTGTAAAGCTATGGTTGGGGGCAACGGAGTGGGTGTGATGAAAAACAGCAAAATTCCACTCTAAGAAAGGATAGCAAAGACAAGGAGTAAACCACTAGCCACAGGTCCTAGGTGGCGACAACTTCACGAAGAAGCAGGGAGATAGAAATAAAACCAGTGGACGGAGTAAAAGCTAGGTCCTACAGGGCCTTGAATGCCCATGAGAAGTCTGGAACCCTCCTTCAGTGAGTGCCAGGGGAGGAAACTCCAGTGCTCATGGAGACCAGTCAAGTAGCGCAAGTGAGTACAGCTGGTTGAGTGGGGCTCGGGTGACAGGACACAGGCCTCAGCTCCACCCAGGGTGTCCTGCCAGGTCACAGGACACAGTCACCTAATCTTTTGACTGTTCAAAGGGAGACTGGAAATCCAGATTTTTACATGAAATCTTCTGAGTTTTCAACATTGACTGTACTCTAAACTTTCTTAAAAGAATGGGGGAGCCAAGCAAAACATCTCTGAGGACACATCTGACCCGCAACCTCTCACCCACCACTCTGGAAGGCAACGGCGAGCCACCGAAGAATCAAGCAGGGGAAAGAAAGGCTGGACTAAATTTGTGCTTTAAATCTGTGCCACCACTGGGGAGGAGGAACAGAATGGGTTCAAAAGACATTCAAACACACTCTTAAAGAATGACCATCTCAGCCACGGACAGAACACCAGCTAACTTCACACGGCTAAACTTGGCATTAGCCTGAGGGGTAAGAAAAGCTTCAATATCAATGTGAAGCATAAAGAAGCTAGCGATCTCCTGAATGCATGCTATTCCAGATTCCCCAGTGAGAAGGAAACAGAAGGAAAGGAGTTTTCTCTTTCTGAGAATCACAGCACAAACCTGAAATGATCTGCCCAAGAAGCTCTTCTTCAGAAGTTATGACAAGTAGACGGGAACATTTCCACAAAGCCCTTTATCAGAGATGAGTGTGGGGTGAGTGGATGGTTGCAGGACAGGCACACAGGCGGGCAGATGAGAGGGGCTTGGAAAGTGCTGGAATGTGGGGTCATCAGGGAGGTGAAGTCGGAACCATGCGGTAATAAGGCAGAAGTTGGAGAAATGACAGAAACCAAAGGGAGACAGCCTGAGGGAACTCGGTAAGCCTGTGCTTCCTAGGATTCAAGTCTGCCTACAGCCAGACCGCACATAGGGTACCAACGAACGCCCAAAGGGAAGAGATAAAACAGAGAAGAACAAATTCCTAGGAAGGCATGCTGGTTGAAGGAATGCACTCGCCAGATGGGGCAAGGAGAAAACTTGGGTAATGGAGCAGACTGATCAAAATAAACACTAATTTTCTATGTTTTATAAATCAGTCCTTTAGTGCTTGTCCCCATAAACCAGGTGCTTGGAACATTTTTAGACCTGGTGGAAACAGTCTTAGGGAATTTTTTTAATTGACTGGAAAAGGTCTGTAGTCATATAACTGGTGTCAGTACTAAACACTGAACTGACAAGAAATATCAGATGAGATCATGAATCAGACAGAACTGTACATTACTCTCCAAGGCCATCCCTTGAAGAACACGATGACTCCTAAAAAGCTAAAGAATGGGGAAAACAAGAGATCTCCAAAGTCCTGCCAGTGCTTATATTCTGGATGTCTGACGAGCATCATGCTTGATGGCAGTTTTTGTTTTACAGTATTTTATTTTTTAGTGGCTATAGTAAAAACATTTCCAAAAGTCTACAAATCACCTGCATCACAGAAGTTCTTTATGTGGCCCGGGTGATACATGTGCATAAATAACTACAGCAGAATATACTCAATGCTGTAAAGAGGCAGAAACAACATATTATGGGATTTTTTTCCTTTTAAAATGACATTTCACTTTATAAAAGAATTCACCACGGGATACGATTCAATATGTGGGAGATATGGCAGGAAAAGATATGTTCACATAAAAAAAAGACCTGAGAATTAGAGCTTGCCACAAGCTGAACTTGGGTTAACAGCGTGAATCAACTAAAAAGCCAAAAGCACACACACCATGTGAGGCTGCATTAATAAGTAGCTGAAGAGATCATAGGTACATTTCTCCCACACTCCACACTGGATCAACTGTATCTAGATTCTACTTTAGGCATCATATGTTAAGAATATTGCAGAATTAGGTGCATGATGATGGTGGACGGGAGTGAATGAGGTTTGGAAGATTAAAAGTCAATAAAGAGACCTGAGTTGGCCTAGATGGGGAAGAGAAGACTGGGTGAGAATCTCATCTCTGACCCTAACCATTACAACAGCTCCTATTAGCGTCCTTGCTTCAGCCACCCCACCCATTCCCAATGCCCGTCCCTCCTCCAGGGAAATGCCCGCCCCCACTGCAGGCACTGAGAATGCTGCTCCAACCACCCTAGCAGCTGGGGCTACAGGATCTCAGTGTGGCTAAAGGGTCTGGGAAGAAGCTGCCAGGGGCTTCTGGGAATGGTTTTCTTCCCTAAGAAGGAAAGAAATGCCCCTCTTCTTCAGCTGGGCATTGCTACACCCACTGCCTGGAACTCAGGCAACCACCAGCAACTACAAGAGATCAAGCAAAAGACCAGGTCAATGCCATGAGGATCATGAAAGGAAAGATGGATCCTGGGACTGTGACGGCAGCGCTGCGCCACTGAACCAACCCTGGAACCACTGATCCCCACACATGCGTTACGTAAGAGAATGGACATGGTCCTTTTCCAACTTGTTTTTAACTGAGGCCTCTACTGACAGTATCTTGACTAACACACTCTCCAAACCATTCTCCATCTTGACCCTAGAGTGCACATTTTAAAATCCAAATCTGACCCTGTCACTTCCATGCTTAAAACTCTTTAATGGCTTCCCTCTCATCTCCATTAAGAGAAAGTATTAGATCAAGTCCTCCAAGATTTGCCATAAATCATCTCTCCCACCATCCCCACACCCTCAAGGCCATGACTCCCAAGCACACACCCACATGTACTCCTCTGCTCATCCCTCTGGGCTCCAATGATACTGAACTACACGTTGACCCAACCACCCCAGGCTGTCTATAGCCTCGACCTTGCACACAGGTCCATGTGATGTGCAACACCCCAATCCACATGTCCCTGCTTGTCCAAATGACAAACTGAAAGGCAGCTCAGATTTACACACACACACATATCAACAGTTGGACTTCCCACACTGCTTTGTAATTATCTGTCCAGATGCCTCTTGTGTACTGTGACCTCCCGGAGGTTAAGTCCATGTCTTCTTGTTTTTTTTCTTTATTTGGTGAGCTAACATCTGTTGTCAATCTTCCTCTTTTTGCTTGAGGAAGACTGTCCCTAGCTAATATCTGTGCCCATCTTCCTCTATTTTGTATGTGGAACACTGCCACAGCATGGCTTGATGAATGGTGTGTAGGTCCGCGCCCAGCATCCAAAGCCGCGAACCCCCAGGCTGCTGAAGTGGAGCACGTGAACTCTAACACTATGCCACCGAGCCAGCCCCTGTCTTCTTGTTATTTTATTGAGCCTAACATAGGCCTATACCAGATAAAGGGCGTAACCTAGACAACAAAGAAGACCTGCTCTGTTGTGCTCAAAATTTGAAGCTAGGACCAATGAACAGAAATCAGCAACAGATTTCAGCTGGGAGAAAGAAATTTCCAACAGTGAGAACTGTCCAACAGGGAAGGTGTGGTTTTTAGAGATGTGTTTCTGAGGAAGGTTTTCAAGAAAGCTTCAAATACCATTTGCGATGCTGTGGGAAAGACTCTGAATCACGGGGGAGGGCAGACTAGACAACCTCTGCATCTCTAAATGCTAAGACCCTCAGCTATAGGGATATGGAGCTCCTACTTAAGGAGGATGGCAGGGAGAAAAGATGAAGGAATGACCAATATGAGACAGTAAAAGAGAAAGCCGAGTAAGACAGTGCGTGATAGGACGATGTACACCTTCTATCCTCCTTACGGCCACCAGCGTCTGGTCTGTGCCGTGTGGGTTCTGATTCTCCCCATTGCAAATGCCTATGTTGAGAGTGGGGCTCTCGTTGTGTCCCCATGGCCCACACCCGACTTTGCAGCAGCTACGGTGGACAGGTCAGACTTACCCTGCACTCCAGCATCCCACCTCAAGCTTGCACAGGGCGTTTTTTAGCATTTTAGCTGAGCTCCTGCTGCCCAGACGTGAACAAGGGTCAATATGGTGGGGGACAACCCACAACCAACAAGGGATGGGAGCCTGCGCATAACTGCTCTGGGCTCCTGACTTGGGGGACAATTCTGGGAGAGATCCTGGAAGAGTCAAACCCCCACTGACCACAGCAGTGAGCCCAATAACAAATTCTTGGTTCTCCTCCT